TAACTGCTTGTAGAATGACCACAAGTTGCTCATCCAAAATTGGAGAAGCACTGAGTCTCTTTAAGTGAATAAACACAATTATAATCAGTAAATCTGCCAATAAATATGAAATATTAAATTGTATTCAACACAAAAATTATTATTTTCTTAGAACATAATTGGGTAAACATGGATAAACGTGCCCACAATAAGTCAGGGTGTCAAAAGAATGTTCTTTTTTCCTATGACACTGCTTTTTAACTACCTTTACTCTTTGGCAGTTTTTATTATTTTAAAAAGTGATGATTCAAATTTAATAAAACTTAAACATGTGAAAGTGAATTTATACATTTTCTTTGTTCTTGAGAATTGACAACAAAAACAATAAACACTATTTATTTGTTAGATTGTTTATTGGAATGGTTGACAAAACATCGGCTAATTGCCAATTGATTCAAACTTTATAAAATGCTAAATAATAAGGATTAGTTGCTTCACATATTTCAATAATTTAGTAAATGTTTATAAATTTATGAATAAGAAATTGTTTTCATATTTCTTTATAAATGATAAATATTGTATTGCATTAGTTCTAAATGTATTAGATTTTAGAGTGTTGTAAATATAAAATTGTTTTTGTAAATAAACAATCTAATAAATAGTGTTTAATATTTTTGTTGTAAATTCTTAAGAACAAAAAAGAAATTCCCTTTGATCATGTGTTTAGGTTTTATTACAATTCTAATACTCATATCTTAAAACAATAAAATTGCCAAAGAGAAGGTAGTTAAAAAGTTGGTCTCATCAGAAAAAAAAACATCCTTTTGACACGATGTCTTATTGCAGAGACCATGTCCATGTTTGCCCAGAATTCTTTAGAATGGCACTTTTTTAGTATAGTTTACAATTATACTTAACATCAAGAAGAGACAACTGAAATTACTATAATGAGAAAAGAGGGCTTGGAAAATCTGATACTCATAGGACAGATTGAAGGCAAGAGGGACAGCTTGAGTAAATGGATAGCAGAACAAGGCTTAGAAGACAAAATTTATTAAGAGCTACAAAGGACAGGGAATTGTAGAGAACCCTGATTACTAATGTGCTGAAGGCACACAACACATAGAAGAAGAATGAACACCATAAACAATTACTACAGACTAGTATACTAAAGTTCAGAAGTGTTATTACAGTTTTGTGGGTGATGAATTATTTTTCACTCTACAACTGCTTATTTTTTTTTTTATAATGATGTTCACCCTTTACAAAGTCCAAGAGCCACTCGAAGTAGAGGGTTACAGAGTAAGAGGCACGGTTTATATGGATATCTAGAAAAGATAACAAGTAAATCAAGACTTGAACAGTTTAAGAGTGTAGTGATTAGGAAAGCATACTCTTGGGAGTCAGTTCCACAAAGCAGCGGTTCATGGGAAGAAGTTGCTTGAATGAAACTTACATCTCACCAATGGAATATGAAGGGAATGAGAATGGTTCACTACAATGTGTTTGACATCTAAGCTGTGAAGGTTAGAACTGGTGAAACTAAGGAATGTAGTCTGTTTTAATATTTTCCATGGAAATAGTGACTGAGTAGGGAGATCCCTTGTGATGTTTCATCTGTGAAAATGGGGTTGTATGCTGAAAAGGATGCAGAGACACTTTTGAACAAGACTGGACAGGGATGACTGAGCAGCTCCTGCCCAAATATGACAACAGTACCCCATTTTTTGTCTGATCTGGTAAAGATAGAGGATAGCAGGAGTAATTTGGTACTTACTGGAGCAATACAGGGAACCAAACTATTTTTCCAGTATCTTTAGCAATAATTTGTATTTTTGAGTTCCACTTGAGGTCTGGGTTGTTTAAGTCCCAATAGGCACTCAAGGCAAAGGGTCTCCTGAGGAAATATTGTTCATCACAATTGGTGAAAATTCCGAGTCTGATCAGTGATAATGGAGTGTTGTTACCCAGACAAAACATTGCAAGCCGCTCATTACTCTATTGCTATTTCCATCACAAATGTTCTGACAAGTTAAATTCCTTCGTTCCACCAGTTCAGACCTTCACAGCTAAGAGCCGCTATGCAATGTACACAAGGATGAATCATCCCCATTCCCTTTGTATTAGTAAGAAGGAAGTTCTATTCAAACAACTTCTTTCCTGGAACTGCTACTTTATGGAACAAACTCCTGAGAGAATGCTTTCTCGATCACTACAATCTCAACCTCTTCAAGTCTTGAGTTAACTTATGTTTCCTAATCCTCAGAAACAGCACTTCTTAGCTCTGCCTCTGACATTCATACAACAACCTCATTCATTAACCCTCTTCTTTGTGTGGTTCTTTGGCCTTATATCAGGTGAACAATTAGTGAAAAAAAATGCACATACCAACATGTACCTAGAATTTGTTCAGTTAAATTTTGAAAAAAAAAAAATCAGTACTTTATAATTTGACAAAGTTTAACAAATGTGCCTGCAAAAAATGGTCTGCCAAAAGGACGTTTTTTTTTTCTTAGAAACTATTACTACACTTGGAGGAATAAGAATTTTTAAGGTTTATTTTAACAAAACAATGCCAAGAAATCTCTTACTTGAAAATTAATGCATTATGCAACCCGTAGTGTTGAAGTCCCTTTATGCACCTAGTGCAAGGTATAATTTTATTAAAAACCCAATATTTAATCCACTAGACCATGACTCTTTGATAAACCACTGATGTAAGTTTGTAAGTTTAGAACCTTAAAACTAATACCTGTACGCGGATGGTGGAAATTTCTTTTCTTATTTTGTCAGAGACACTCTAAAGGTTTTCATTTCTATGCTAGGTCTCCTGAGGAAGTTGTCAATACCTAAAATGTGCACTGATTCTTGACTTCATGCTACAGGGGCTGATGATCAATCATTTTCACTCCTTGCTGGATTTCAATATCACCCCATCCACACTACAACCTTTCAATATTCCTTTACTTTTACTTTAGGGGATGGTTGTTGTTCTCTTTTGTATTTCTTGCCACAACTGCATAGGATGGAATACAAACAGTTCTTGGTTATGATTTACTCTGAAGGAGAAATTTTGTTTGATAAAGATATCACAAAAGAGTTGAACAGCTTCTGAATGCCATCTTGATTTTGTATGAACTACAAATACTATGAATCTTTTCTGATGAATTCTTTATCCAGATGTAGACATTCCAAATGAATTTATTTTAGATTCGCACTTTGACAGAATATAACTTAAATTACAATATTTATTTTTATGTCTTATCAACTCAGATAACAATTTCAATATAAACAAAATCAAGTGAAAATGATATTGATTATTCACATCATTTTCAAAGCTTGTATATTTCAAAGAATTGTTACATAAAAAGAAAATTTTAATTGTTTTCTTTTGATGGAAATAAAAAGGAAAAAATAATTTAGAATTTCTTTTGATGAAATGAAAATGAAAAGAGAAAAAATTAATTTAGAATAGTAACAATTCAAAAATATTATTGTATAACTAAAATAATGTGATAATGTGGTAGCAAATTTTATGAGGAACAAAATAAGAACTGCCTGGAAGTCAAAGGGAGATAACTGCTTGTTCACATTTATTAGAGAAGACAATCAGAATTATAGGCAAAGTTTAACAAGCATGCCAGAAAAAAAAAAAACAGAAAAAAGGGTTTTAGAAAGGAATTTTTAGAATTTTAATAAAAAACAAACATATGAAACTGGATTTATAGATTGTTTTTCTCAATTCTTTATTTATAATATTTTCATACTTATTCCTCAAAAGTATGGCAAATAATAAATATTGAATTGTAGTTGTTTTTATTTTTATATTACTATAATATATTTATATATTATTTTTATAATACTATAAATATAAAATTATTCTCATCAATATACAGTCTAATAACATTTTTAACATTTTTGCTGTCATCTAAAGAAAAAAAGAAAATATTCAAATCCAATTTCATATCTTTGGGTTTTAATAAAATTCTAAAAATAGCTTACAAAGTATAAAGTAATAGTGGTGTCAAGAGAAAAACTGTACTTTTGACACACACACCTTTTTTTTTTTTGCTGGTACATTTGTTAAACTTTGTGAAATTATAGTCATTTTGAAGCAAATAGTTAAAATATTTTGTGCTTTCTGTCAGTTAACCAGAACTAACAATTTATTTCCTTGTAACACATTTTGTTTACCAAGCTTTTCTAGCTGAAATAATGAGTCTTTCAAGAAGTCAGTGATCAAAAAGATATTTATCAAATGATTAAAGAAAAATCCTTGGGTTCTTGTAGAAAATTTTAAAAAACTTTAAAATATCAACACATTTGATGGAATATCAAAGCAAATATGATTTTTGAATATGAAAGAAAATAAAAGAAATTTAGAAAAAATTAGAACAAATCAAATTGTCCAGATGAAAAATAGATTTATTGAAGATAAAAATGTTATTTACAAAAATGATTTTTTGACAAATATGGGATTCAAATAATTTAAATTTCAACTACAGAAGAGAAACAGAAATATATTTTTTTTGTTGTTGTTTTACCTACAAAATCCTTTGTACAATTAGAATTGCTCAATATTACCTATTTTTCTATTTTACCTTAGAAAAAAAAACTAATTTTACTGCAAGACTCAGTGATTAGACCCAACATCTATCAGAGTTATAATGATCAAGTCTGCCATTAGAAATGCAATGTAAACTTGTTATTTGAATTAATATTCTCATCTTTTTCATTTTTACTGCAATGTTTTTGGTTGATATGATCTTCTGCCTTGCTCATCTTGCTGACCTTAATCAGTACCATTTTTCACCTCCACATGTAGGAACAACATAGTTTTGTTTAAAGATTCAGGTGTCAAGATCTTAAGCTCACACCAGAAAATTATGATAAAAACAACAAAGATGAAGATATTAAGACTCTTTCTTAGAACTTGAGATGTGTGCTAATTATTGCTTGAAATAGAGAAAATGAAGAGAGAGTGCATGAAAAGAATTAAAAGATAATTCTTAAGTTTTTAATCATACAGGAAATTGATTTACATAGGAAAGTCTGTCCCGATATGCCTGTTGCTTATTTTCACAGCTGGGCCTGACAAAAGAAAAAAAAAACAGTAGAATAATATTGATAACAACAGATTCAAATGATTCAAGGAACTTTTCTTATATATTTGTATCCATAAATCTTAACAAGTAGATTAAATTCAAAAATAAATAAAAAATAAAATTATATTTTAAAGAGAAAGAGACAAAACTAGCTTTTTTTAAATTTCAATGAAAATTTAGAATTTTTGAATACTTACCCACATGTATCATTCTGTTGTAAAGTGTTGGTGATTTTTTCCAGTTTGATTGTATGTGACAAGAGTTCCACATTCCTTACACTGCCAAAGAAATCAGTGAGTAGTACATTTTCTGGGTCTCTTTGAAAGAGATCAGATCGAACCCCAACTCTGGATATACACTGTTTTTGAGGACATACTCGAAGCTTAAAGAAAAAAAAAAAAAAATTATTATTTTCTTTTTTTTGGAAGATTAAAATAGCAAGGAAGATAACTTATCCAACATGGTTTAGGCACTAAAATTACTTTTTCGAATAGTTGCTGCTGTTAACATTATGTTTCAACCAACTCATTCAGCCCTCATTAGCTGTAATCCAGAACTGGTGCATACCACCTCCAAATCTCCTGACTGGCAGGAAGCCTAACTGGGCACCCTGGGCAGTGCTTTGTGACCCTTTCCATCTTATCAACATTTGCTTTTTTCTACTTACATTTATATACACTACAAATTAAACTAAACACAATTGACTATTAAAGGATGAAATCTTTTTTCAGATTTTTGACATCATTCTGGGGTCTTTTTTCTTGTCTAAATCTGTGAATTTGTTTTGCTCATGCTAGGGCTTGAAAAAACACTATATAAAATTCACTAGTTTTCATTCATAATGTTGAATATTCCTCAACATTTTTAAAAAGAAAAATCTCAAGTTGATGTTAAAAATTGTGGCAAAACATTGTGGATTTATTTGAAATGAAATGATTTATTATGACATGTCTCTAGTTTGTATTTAGATACAGTGTATTTAGGTTCAATTTTTCTAGCTGAATTATTTACCTATATTGCATATGATCCACTATTGTACATAAACAGGTTACAATAAAATTTATATTTTATATGAATATTACTTTATGAAAATTGAGATGTAGCAGAGTGTGTGTGTGTGGAGGGGGGTGGGGGTCCCTGTATCATAACCCTTTATTTCGTCCACCGGGGTGGATTGTCTAGTTCCACATGCCATGCCTTTCCTGGTTATCACAGTTTCAGTTATTTCCCTTTAGTAACTCAACTCTCCATGTTTTTGTTCACTTCTGCTATGGCCAAGTATTGAACTCCCAACTCTTTGGGTCAAGTCACTTCTGGATTACTCCAACCAACGCTTTTATCTACTGGGCCAGTTGTGAGTTTTATGAAACTTCTTAACAAATTCATTTATTATTATTCTACACTGAAATAATGAAAAAAAAAAATCAAAGATATGCTAATATCTTTCTTAAAAATATGAACAGCATTTTTTTTATATCTAACTATTAATTGATTCATTCATTCATTCATTCATTTTCTATGGCTTATCAACCTTTTTCAGATTATTTAAAGCCAGAAAACAGATTTTTAGATTGTAAAAATTTTTTTATGAAAATAATGATTTTGTTATACAAGTTTTACTAATTAACCCATAGCTGGGGGGAGAAGAGGGGAATATAATGAATACAACTTGAATTGGAACTTGGCTCTCTGGTTAATTTCAAGCCATTATCCATTATACCACCCATACATATATGCTCACAGTGACTGGTATTCCCAAGCAGTCACCCATCTAGGTACTGACCAGGTTTGATGTTGCTTAACTCTGGTGATTGTACAAACACCAGAGTTTCAACATGATATGGCTGTATGACAGATATAACTAGGATTGCCAATTATTAATATAACTTGACAGATCAAGTTATATTAATAATAAAGGACGTAAAGAAAAATATATATAATCATTTTTAATTTAATTCCTGTCAATAAACAAGAGAATTGAAAATGACATTGTTTTTTTTCATCTTTCAATTTCAACAAAAGGACAAGTCCATTAAAAAAGAAATAAAAACAAAACTGGTTTACAACTCTAAACATAAACAATATGTACATTGCGATATGCGCCATTAAACAATGGTTAGAAAGCTCATGTTGCACATCATCATTACTATAATGAGTTTTTGTCCTCAGTGAAGAGATCCCAATATAGTGGCTCTGTGCCAAACAAAGCAAATTAGTCTATTATATATGTTCAGAGTAGTCAGTACAAGAAAAAAAAGCCAAACTAAGTTCAAATTACAGCTGAGGCTACTCATGTTCATTTTGCACTTGAGAAAAGGCATGAACTCACTTCTCCTTGTGCTCTGTCCTATTGCCAGATATATTTGATGAAAGGGCTCTGTTATGAAATGTGCTTTCCTTCATATTTTATCATTCCAGCAGCAGTCATTTATCTCACATACCAAGAGCTGCTCTAACCTTACTGCTTGGACACTTACATAGTCTATATGCCTTTAGCTATGCTAGTTAGGCAGTCATTTACATATCACTACAGTCTCGTCACTAGTATGCCATAATGATTAATAGAGAAAAGAGTGATGTAGATATAGATAGATACAAAAAAAAATAACTTAATTACTATACCTTCCCAGGTTATAGTAAGAGCAAAACTGTTACCTCTATTGTCAGCTATGTATAAAATAAATTAAAGTAAACAAAATAATTAAAAATCGAAATCACAATGCACAATTTGAGAGCTAAAAAAAAAATCCCATAAAATATAAAAATGTCTGCTCTTCAACATGACAGAAAAGTAAAAACTTTAAATGCAGCAACTAAATTGTGTCATCACTGTTGCTGTCACATTTTTTTTTCAGTTTATAGCAGCAAATAAAAATCAGTTGACCATGACTTTGATAGAAATCTAGAACAAGGAAAAATTATCAAACACAAATGGTGTGGGATTTTATAAGTATTGAACTGTATCCTAAAGAAAAAAGTTGTTGGTTGTGTGCGTTATCTGAAAAAGAAGTAGATAAGATTAAACCTGTTCAAATGATGAATTGTATATACTTACAAATTGGCCAAGGGTTTTCTTGCTGGTTGGAGTCACTTGTTCAAGGAATTCCAGTGCATAGTAAGTATAACGGTCAATCACATAAACACCAATGGCAGGATCAACATGATGCTGGAATGAATTACAAAATAAACATTCAAAGTTTTTTCTTTTAAAAGTAACAATAAAATTTAAATTTCATTTTTCCTTTGACACAGAGACACTACAAGCCAGCATTTTCAATTTCAACCTGGGATTGATTTCTCCTTACCATTCTCAACAATGCTTGTGTCTCTTTTAGAAGTGATAGAAAAGGTTATTCAATAACAGAATAAGGTCAAAATTCCACAAGATGATCAGTACCTATAGAAAAAAATTATTTGATAGGGTGGGTGTCAGAAGAATGTCAGGTGTCCTCTCATAATTTTGCCCCAAAAGAAATGCCACAGATAATAGAATGCAATACTTGTGCTTGTCCTTCGATAAATTTAACTGAAACATAAATATGTAAATATCTGATATTGAAATATAGTTATTGATTTACTGATTGATTTGATTTTCACAGCTTATCAACCATTTGGGGTTTATTTAAAGCTGAAACATAATTTGGATTAAAAAATATTTTTTTTTTATGAGTGAATATTGCATTAACAATTTTTTAGAAAAAACAATTTTTCCAGATACAAGTCCTACTATTTATCCTATAGCTAGCAGGTGAAGAGAGAGTATTCAGGCGTAAGTGAAAATAAAAACTCAGCTGAAATTTGAACTCAGATTTCCAAGTTCTCATTCTTAGATGTTATAGTTGAAATATAAATATTTATGACATTCAAGTAAATTCAATATATCAAGATGGCTTCAGAGAATCACAAATATTTTTTATTTTAATCATTTCACCCCAAGCAAGGCGATAATGCCGCAAGGATGCAAGGAGTTACTGCGAGTGAAAGAGAATGAGAAGATTTGGGTGAAGAGAAAGGACAATAAAAGAACAGGTTTCAAGACGACAGAAGATGGCAATTGACATTGCATTTAAATTTTTGATGATTTTAAGGTGGCAGGGAAGCAAGAAATTGGACAAGAGTTCCACAGCTAAGAAGTGCAAGAAAAGAAACTATTAGAATTGAACATATGATTACATCTAGCTAGTTCAAAAGTAGAGAACTAGTTGCCAATCTAGAAATTCATCCAGTTGTGACAACAAGGAGGCAAGCTCATTAGAACAATTTCCATGAAATTATTTTTAGAAAAAAAAGAGGCAAGCCACATCATGCTAGTGAGAAAGTGAGTGAAGTCAAGAAGACAGGTCAGGATCAATTACATTACAGACCCTTCTTTGAATTTTGTCAAGAATCTCAAGATATCTAGCAGGATCACCAGACCAGATATGGCAGCAGTATTCAATGTACAAACGAATGGTAGATTTATAAATGAGCAAGATGAAAAATTGTCTGGCACAACAACTTTTCTAGCAGTAGTTCCAGCAACTGATTCAAATAATCATTCTACTGTTAGTGGAAAACATGAGCCCAAGAAAGTGCAAAGAGTTTCTCTCCAGGTTAGCATCAGCCATGCTGATGGAAGGCAGAAAAGGTCCTCTATGGTAATTAAATGTAAGCAGTTTTGTTTTGGAGGCATTCAAATTTATAAGCCATTCCTTGCCCAGATAGCTACTGATTAGAGGTCATTTTTGTGAACAGTTACCAGTTTTAGTTTGTCAGACCTGCCAGACTTGCTACTAAAATCTATCTTTCTTTTACTACAAAAGATTGTAATTTCTTCTTAAATGTTATGTTTAGTGGATGCACAGATTTGAGTAAACATGTTTTTTAAACAGTATAATTTTAATTTATTGGCCTGGGTTTTTTCAAGAGTCTTTTAATAATGGAAATGTGCCCTTCAACAGGGTTTGAACCTGCATCCACCTTAAGAAGGAGAAACCATCATATAGCCCAGTGTGCTTTTACACTGAAATGACAAATGCAAAAATGCCACTGATTTTGATAAGGGGTGAATTGTATAAAATGGAAATTATTTTAAAATTTCAGTTGATTTTTCATTGTTGACTGAAACAATCCAACTTGATAAGTAGAGCATAAAAGTGTGTTGAATCAGATTTCAACTTATTTTCCTTTCCAATAACCAACATTTTAAAAAGAAGAAAGTCATAGAGACTTACTGAAAGAGAATCCTCACCAACATGGCTGCTGGCAACAGCAAGGATATTTGGAGAATAGAACTTTTGGTACATTGACTCAGCCTGACAAGTGTCAATCATGAAAAATATTTCATGGTATCTACAAAAGAAAAGTATTGTTCCATTAAAATTCAAAGCAAAAATGATAGCAAATCAAACAGAAATATGAATAACATTTGTTAATGTAGGCCACATGTTTCATTTATTATTCTGAAAATTTCAGTTTTTTATCAGATAATGTGTTTGCTTTGTTTGCCTGGAGTTTAAATAATATTTCTAATTTGTTTATTAAAATGAATAACAATATAAACTTATTAATTTTTTAATTGATAACTCATTAATAGACAACCAATTATAATTTTTTTTTCCGTGACATTAAGCTTCATTCTTTAGACCTCCCAGTTCAGACCTTTACAGCCAGGACACATCATGTTATTTCCAAAGTTGAATCACCCTCATTTCCCCTGTATTCCAAATGTAAAGAAAAAGCTCCACTCTATGCAAAGACAGCTTTTTTTCCTGAAGTACTGCTACTTTGTGGAACAGACTCCTGTGTGGATGCATCCCAGAACACTACAATTTCAATCATTATCTATCCTCCTTATACTCATAATCTTCACTTCCTACCAGCTTCCCTTACATTCATATCATGCACCCCTTTCGTCATATTCATTTTAGCAATAACCTCTACCATGACACTTGAAATGAAATTAATTAATAATTAAAATGGAGAAACATTGAAAAGCCAGTGAGAGATGAGACAATGAAATTGGGCATGGAGGGAAAACATTATCAGCCCCTGCAAAATGAAGTGAAATTGCTGGACAAGGAAGAACACTGGAAAGTTAGATATCTGAAAGAATTAGCACATATACTAGGACATGAGGCCCTCCTTAGTAGGCCTAGCATAGAAATAAATATGATATTGGAGCTACTAATATAGAAAGAAAGACAAATAACAGCAAATCTTCAACCGCAACAGCAGCAATCAAAACATGACAGCCAGCAGTCGTTGTAACCTAATCAGAAGTCAGGTTAAGTTTAAGGCTCTAAGTTTACTACAGCAAGCTGTCCTAGTGGGTAAAAGCATTGGTTTGTAAATTTGGTGTCATAGTGATTGTGAGTTCAATCCCTGGGTCATGGAAACAAGTGAGCAATAACTGAACAGTTAACAGTACTAAATAAAATAAGAACTAGACGATATCCTTAGACATGAGCAGTGGAATGAGAGCAGTCTACTAAAGGGGTCAGTTCAGAATTCATCCAAAATATTGTGATAACCTGACTGCTAATTAGGTTGCAGGACAATAATCTGAATATAAATAGTGTAAATAATAATAATTCCTCATCTCAAAAAAAAAAAATTTAACAAAAACTAAGCCTACCATATTTACACTTTAAAGAGAAAACAGATACTGTCTTCAAAGAAAATGCAAGAAGGATTTGCTAACTTTTTCAAAAATATGTCATAGTTTAAAGCTTTAAGAAAATTGCAAGTTACAACAACAGAATCTTCTACCTTCTCTTTTGCCACATTTGCTCAAAGGCATCTGCCAATTCAACATTAGAGATTTCTTCCGAGTCTTGGAACTTTAGAAATCCATCTCCGCCATGGCCTGCAAAGAATAGTAATTTTTTTATTAAATACAAAGGAAAAATTTTGAAGACACTGAATTGCTCTTCTTAAAAATTATTTTCTCTTTATTTTTTATAAACATGTTTCGAGCAGAATAAGATTAGGATCAAACAGCATCAGAAAATTCTGGAATCAAATTAATAAACAATTCTTGTTGAAAAGTAAGTTTGACTTAAAAAAAATTCCACCAATATTTTCAAAAAAAAAAAAAATGAAATTAATTTACAATAGAAATTGTTTTAAAATAAAGAAACACCAAACAGGATTATCATTGAAAGTATAGAGATGATCAACTTATTTTGGTCATAATATTGTTAATTAGTGTAAGCAAAAAAATAAAAGTCATGATTAAGCAAAGAAAAAAGAAAAACATAAATGCAAAATGACAAAAATGTCCTGTAAATTTTTAGAGATATTGATTTTATAAAAGATTGATTTTAACATTGTATATCTATTTTCATTTCTTAAAAAAATTTAACAAAATACAGTTATCATCTTTTAAATCTAAAGTGCCTTAGGATCCAATAAATAAATCTTTCATGCATTTACCAGTCATATAAACAAGAATGTTACTTCTTTCATCAGATAAAAGTCGTTTGGATCGAGGAGTACTGGGGGGAAGACGGCCAGTCAATACTCGCACAAAATTTTCCACCGTTACCTAAAATAAAACCCATAATAATTACAATAATCTGTCAACAATAGATTTTACAGAATGAGAAAAATAACATAGAAATACATACATTACAATGAAGCTGTCTTATTTAAAGGTTAAAAAAAGCTGCAAGTAAAACTTTTAAAATACTTTATATAAAACAGTAAAAGTATACAAAGTGATTTTTAGAGTTTCAAAAATTGTCTGGACATGATATTCTTTTTGTTTTCAACTGAGCCATTCCATTGACTTCTTCATGTGTACAATTGAGATGAAAAGCAAAAAGTGCTCTTTACTGTGGAGAAGTAGTACTCTTCAAACTATTCATCTTAGATAACATCTGGGACCTGAAATAAGAGAACCAACTTTGCAGGCACCAACTACATATGTAGAAGAAAAAGCATGCAAAAAGCAAAGAAAGAAAGAAATTTGCAAACTTAGCTCTACAAATTTCAATAAATTTTTTTATTAAGTATTTGTTTTCTTTCAATTTGAAAGAAATGAATCAAGGATCTCACAAAACAAAGTCCAACAAAAATATTTTTGTTTTTACAACACAACAGAAATAATTGCATTAGTATGATAGAAAAACAGAATGTGCCTACTTAACAAGAGAGTCACATATTTATGTTGTTTTATGTAAGCATGTAATTTTTCAAGTAGTCAGCAAGTGGGAGCTGTGTTATTACTACTACTAATATTTCTTGGCATAACTCCATTTGTATGTTTTACATGTTGCTTAATTTACTTTAAATCCACAAGGCTATTGCAAGTTACTCAATAAATATGTGAAAGGATGAGTAATTAATTATATGAAAGATATGAGCAATCAGTTTGTGCGCAACAACAACAACACTGGTCAAAGATTTATAAAAAAACTGAAAACTGAATTTGTGAATTTACACTATGAATATTTCTAGAAAAATAGATGGATCAAGGAAGCTAAAAGTTAGATTTACTCAACTCAGAAATTTATTAGTAATAAATATTTTTCCCAATTTTTAAATATATATTTTTAGGACTGAAAATATTGTTGATGCTGGAATGATCTCTTAAATTTTGTAGCAGACAACAAACATGGTCATCTGATTTTTCAAAACCTTAAGAGCATTTGAGATGGTGCTGCTGATTGATTAACAAATGTTAATGTGGAAATTTAAATTGGAGCCTGCTTTTTGAACAAAAATGAGTCGATTAACATTTTTAGTGATATTACTTAAATCTATTGAATTTTTCTACAATTTTTTAATGGGGTTCCATAAATAGTCATAGTAAATCTATATAATGGGAGTGGCTGAACAAATTCAAAGAATTTATAGACATTATAACATCAAAATGGTATTTAATAGCCCAACCACTCATTACAACTAAAGAAAATAGACTACAAAATCTTACATGAAAAAACATCCACTGCAGATGTATAAAAGAATATAAGAGAAAAACCAGCTGGCTTCTTGATGAGATAAGGAAGACCATATTTAAAAATGAAGTGGTAATAATAATATTAGCTGTTTCCTTATAAGGAAACATTCAGTAGTCATTGACCAAGTATCTTGTACTTGTTGAAATGTCAGTTGAAATTTACAAAATCTTTCTCTTAAAACAATTTTTCAAGAAAATAGGTTTCTCATGTCCACTATCTGTTGTCACTCTTTCCAGTAATTTCTTTTATTTTTAATTGAGTTCATTCCAAGTAAGGCAGTAAAGCCACCAAGACAAGGGGTTACTGGGTGTAGAAGAGTTAGAATCAGAAACACTGCTAAGGAACAAGAACAGAGAGTAATAAGGAGGACAGCAGATAGCAATTGACACTGCATTAAAATTTTTGCAGATTAAAGTTGGTTAGAAAGCAAGGAGCTAGAAGGGAGATCCACAAGTGAGAAATGTTAGAAAAGAAAATGTTAGCATAGAATTTACAGTTACATCTAGCCAGTTCATCTGTAAATTGGTGAGACCTCATCACAAGTCTAGTACTGCACTTAAATTTGAAGAGTCTAGGCATCATAGTGAAGAGCGATATTTATTTCCACTTCAATACAGAAAATATAGCACAAGGCCAAAATGGGGAATAGGGAAAAGGACGGTCTTCTTCTGTCTTAAAATTAAACTTAGCTAGCCATAAACACTGACCAAAACATACCACAATATTCCTGACACCAAAACAATGCATTCTTACTTAACATTCTTACTTCATCCACCATAATACCTCATTGTCTCTATGAAAGTCTGAACTAGTCCCCATATGTACAATTCATTGTCTGTGGGAGGAGGGGAGTTATAGAACAATTAGCGAAGAGCTCATCCAAACAATTACCATAAGAGTATTTGTAGAAAAGGCAAAGCAACCTTACAGTGGTGGGAAAGTGACTGAAGCTGAGATGTCAGATTGGGGCCAATAATATTGCTGATTCTTAGCCTTTTATTTGAAGTAGTGTGGAATGTCAACATCTTGATTTTGTCATTGTTTTCTCTTCAAGTTGCATGTGACATCTATTTTAGTAGATTTGTTGTTGTTGAAATTCCTCTCATGATGTGGTTTCTGTTAATTGGTACAGATCTTTAGGGATCAATGCTGGAGGATAAAAACAAAACCAAAGAAGTTGCATATATTAGCCTTGCAAATAAATGTGCAAGTCAAGCAAATAGAGATTTCTTTGTTGAACATGGAAAGGATTGGAGAGCAAGCTCATATATAAAATATGGAATCATCCACATTTCATGCTTTACTGTGAGTTTTGCATTAAATGTTGATCTGATCAATATATTAAACCCTATTTCTTTTTGTTAATCACATTTTCAGGTTTGCTCCCTCGAAAACAAGAACCTCCCCACCTATTTTCATAGAAATTGTACATCTGAAGAAAACTGTAGAATGGATCAGCCAAAACATTTGTGCTAATATCAAAGCAACAAAAAGAATGAGATCAACAGACTAAACAACTTTTGCAATGATATTGACTCATCTCAAAATTAGCAGAGATTTTTTAAGTCATTAACACTTTCACTGCTGTAGACATGCTTTTACATCTTTGCCTGCTGTTGACATATATATACATTTACAAGATAATGTGAAATGTCAGTCTCTAACATTTGTGCTAAAAATATGACTTGTGCTTAGTGCTATTTCCAAACTAGCATACACATATACTATTATACAATACGACCAGTTTTGTGACTTATTCTTATTGTGGGTTGGGTGTGTCATTTAGTTTAGTCTCTTCTGCAGAGTATCCTATTGAAACCAAAATGGCGACAAACAAGAGAAATTGCTGTCAGCGCCTTTATATCTTTGTTTTTATTCTTATTCCCAGTAAATATCAATTTCTTATTTTTCCCAAAATGGACCAGCACAGCCAGGCAACAATACTATAACAATGCAGTCATGAAAGTTTTAATGGCTTTCATAGGAACTTTTACTGATTAAATAATGATTAGATGACAAGAATTTGATAATTTCAGTTTCAATTTTTAAACAAAAAGTCATACCTCATATCCACGATAGTCAACCTCAACATCATCGCCATATACGTTAATATATTGATTGGCATTATTGAATACTGTTCCTAAAGATTAGAAAAAAAAAGCTTGATTTGCAACAAATAAAACTTTCAAGTAAACATTTGAATGTTAGTAATGAATCAATAGATAGCTAAATGCAAGTAACAATCTAATTTTTTTCATAACACAACAAAGTATTATAGATGGAAAATGAGATGAAAACAAAGTCAATTCTTAAAGTGACCATCATGGCATCATTAACATGCTGTCAGAGGTCAATTATAAAATCTGACTTCAAACACCAATTTTATAACAGCCAACTTAAGCAATAAAATTTTTTAGGAGTTTATTATTTGAAGTGCCTTGATTTGTAGCAAGTAATTTATGAGATGTATACAAAACATCCAAGAACGGATGTTGGGACACTGACTTATTTAGAAGCTAGATCACCAATTGAGAAGAAACAATGTCCAACCAGGCACTGCAGAGTTTGTGCATAAAACAAATTATAGTGAGAAACACAGTACATTTGTACCATTTGTGAAGATAAAACACCTCATTGGGTTGGTGTTTCAAAATTCACCTACTTTGAATATTGGACACTTCGGTTGCTTTTCAAATGCTTTCTTTATGTTATATTTTCAATAAATTTTTCCTATAAAATATTTATTTTTAGATGTCAGTATGATTTTTCATTCCTGCCTCATATGCCAGGTACCAGTTATTTGCATAAAAAAAAACAACAAAAAACTTGGTTGTAGTCTTGATCGCAAGACCACAAAAACGAAATAACATGTGGTCAGTGTCATAATAAAAAGTGACAGTTCATATATTAATAATTTTTCAAAAGATTAGGAATTAAAACCAAAGAAAAACAATTTATACCATTTACAGGAGATTTATATTCTGCTATTAAAGCAAAGTGGTATTTGGTGATTTTGGAATGGTTTAATAAGTGGCTATCTTCTGGCTGCTCTGTCATAATAATTCATGTGAGAAAGATATACTACTATTACCTTTACACTATTTACATTGTTTGGACTGTTGTCCACATCTTTATTGCCATATCCACAATGTTTTGGCCATTGTATGCTTTGGGCTTCAATAGATGATATTTGTTTGAATTTCAAACCGAACAAACAATAGTTAATCTGTAGGTTGGCATTTCTGAAGATTGGTTTGATGATGTTTGTGTAGATGTTCTTCCCATGTTTATTTCCTGAAATGGGCTGACATATAACATTCACATTCCTGTTATATGTCAGCCCAAAGGTAGGTAAGTGTTAATAAATATCTTTTTCTTTTTTAAAGACCACCTTCCTTCAGGATGTAGGCAATCTAATCTCCAGATTCCTTCTTCTTTACATTATCTGTGAATTACCATGCATTTTTTGAAAAGATAGTGAAGTAGTTTCCTGTTGTCTCCTCTATCTCTTTAATAAATGTTATAACTGAATTAAATAATGGTCTCTGTTGATATTTCTTAGGAAAGACTGCAAAAAACATCTCCTTACCCAAATTTATAAACAAATCATACAGATGCATGCTGGGAATTCTTTCTAACCTATAAAAATGGCCCACTTCTCAGTCTCATCTGCCATATTCTTGTTCTTTCTTGTCTTGAAATCAGAGCACTACAATTACTCTGTATCTATTTTGTGCATAAACACTATTCTTACTTTGTGAAATCTTTACCTTATTACTGTTGCTTTGCCTAGTTTTGACATGCATAGATATTGCCTGCTTAGTATTATTTTGACCCACTTTTTTTTTCCTTTTCTTATTGTTTATTTAGAACTTTGTCAATTCTGTTTGTTGAGCATTTTGCAGATAACACTTAATCCTGTACTCCAGTTACTCTTTACTTATGGCTGTGTATTTGAGCAGCAAACCTTTTTTAATACGTCTTATTGAACAAGACTGACAAGGTACTTTTCTTTAGTTTTTATTGGGTTTTTTTTTGTATACATAGAAGTATCTTTTTTTTCTGGACTTAATGTAAAAATTGCTTAAAGTTTGTTGGTCCTGAGCGCTTTCAGCTAAACTGTCAACTATTTTCAAGGATTATTTTTGTTTTACAATGACTATAATAAATGGTATGTAAATGCTATTGTAGACTATAAAAGTTGGTGAAAGTAGACATATTCTTAATTTCCAAATATGGCCACTACATAGTGGCCGTGTTCATAATTAATGCTATTAAGAGTTGGTTTCTTCTTTTACATAATTAGGGCTGCCATCACTTTTAAATGCTTAATGCAGTGGGAGGTGTGTATCACATTTGTCCTCCATACATGCAGATCTATCATTTAAGTATGGTATTTTCAAGATATTTCATAAATTTTCTGATGAATTAATGAAGGCTGAAAATATCTAACTTACCTGGATGAGGATTTCTTGGATTGCAAGCCATATCATCAGCCACCATCAAAATGATATGACTGAAAGAAAAATACAAAGAAAATATATTTGAGTGGCATCACATAAAAAACAAAACAAAAAAAAAAAAAAACACAATCTTTATAAAAATATAAGATGATCGATAAATTTTAAGAAGTATGTCTGTATAGTCTTGTGGCTGAGGCAGTTGTGTGTTACCCATTGCTACCAGTGGTCAGTATCTGCATTAAGAATTTTAAATGCTGATATTCAAGGCAGGCAACGTTTCCTCACTTAGAAGACTGTCACAAAACAATCTTTCTACTTCCATTCCTGACATTTGATTTTGATTGATTTGGCTGTTTAACAGCATATCAACTCTTTATGGATCATTTAATGTTGAAATTTAATTTTCTTGGGAGCTTGGAAGTAATAAAAATGATATGTTATTCTGCTTTCACAATTGAATACATGGTAGATGATACTCAGCTTTTGTGCATACATATGTTTGTCTGGACATAATTATAAGAGGGTGATTTGTGTTTTATGTTGTAGTTTTGTTAAAGTTATATTTTGGAATACAGTTTGATTTCTTTAAGAAATTGTAGGATATTATATGGATTAATGTCATGAAAGTTCTTTCATGTTTGGTAGCATTTTAAATAGATTTTGGTGAAGTCACTACAATTTGTTAGTATGTGCATCTGTTGGTAATTTTACTATAAATATGTATTGCTGGTAATTATTTTTACTATAAAAACATATTTTTATACTTTCATAGTTTTTTGTTTTAGATTTCATTATTTGTCCATAGCTGGGACCCTAACAGGTGCTACCACCCCAAGTCAGGGTGGACCTGGGAATAGCAGCAATTAAGGGGTGGTTCCATGCACTTCAAAATCTCTAACCTTCCGATCTGAGGCCTTGATGCCTGACATTTGGTTAGGAACAATATTGAAATAGGTTTTAGAAATATAAGGAATGTCTTTGTTTCATAATAATCAAATACAAGACATGTATTATAGAATTAATTGTTTGATTTGTTTTCTATGGCTTATCAAGCCATTGAAAGTTATTTAAAGCCAGAAAATATTTTTAGTTTGTAATTTTCTTTTTTTAGATAATAATGATTTAGTAATAAAAGTCTTACTAATTAAACCATAGTTGGTGATAGAAGAGGTGGAGTCATACCTTTCCCAAGAGTATTTGTGTGTAAGTGAATATAACAAATACAACAGAAATTTGAACTTGGCTCTCCAATTAACAATTCTGAGCCATTATCCATTACACCACCTGCACATCCAGCACCTGGTATTCCAAGCGGTCACACACGAAGCTCAAGATTGCTTAAATTCAGTGATCATATAGGAAATGGTGTTTCAACATGATGTGGCCATAAGCCTGTATTGTAGAATGAACTGACAGAAACACAAATAGCAAATGTGACTGAAACATTGATACAATTTTGGTTAGGCTAAAAGGACTACTTGGTTGTACAACAGATTGATAAAAAAACAAAAACAAATAGTATATGTAAATGTTTCCAGAAATATGTCTGATCTATCCTAACCTAGCTGTCACAGCTCAGTGGGGAGAGGAAATCGCTTGTAATATTCCATCCCTCCCAAAACCAAGCAAGCAATATTTAATCATTGCTCAATAGACTCCAAGTTTTCTACAGTCATGGTGAATGGTTGTACCCTCAATGAGGCTCCTAAACCTGGAACATCTATTGGGACTCAAGCTAACATTAAACCTAAAATGGAATGATTCAATACTAAAGATACTCTGGGAAATTGGGTGGTTCCTTGTAGTAAGGAAAAAAAAAAAAAAGGGAAAAAGTAAGCATCTGTCTATCTTGTGAGATAAAGGTAGCATCCTTTTAGTTTGAAATTCCCTTTCTTTGGTAGTGAAACTGGAGTGACCTCTCCAGGGTGCAGGCCTGTTCGATGGTAGATGGTGGCCATGCACTGCCCAGACTACATAGCCCCACTCTTGACCATACCAACTAGATCCAAAGGAATGCAATGTATTACATTTGGGGCTGGCTTACGTTACCTGACATGATCTATCATTACAAAATCCAGATCAAACCAAAACTGGAGTATTTCTGTCATATCCAGGCTGGAGCTTCCCAATCCTCACTTTCCAGTTTTGACATAGTTCAAAAACGTTTATGCAGCCTTGTGGGTGATGAATTATTCTACGACCCTTTTCTCACAGACAACCCTAACTCTTGCTACTCTATTGCTATTTTCATGGCAGATGTCCAGACAAGGTACATTCATTACTTCTACCAGTCCAGACCAGACCTTCACAGCTAGGACCATGTACACAGTCAACTTAACATCATTCCCTTCATATTTCATTAGTAAGGAGGAAGTTTCACTTGGACAGCTTCTTCCCCTGTCTTTTATGTAACAAACTCCTGAAATGATGTTTTCTCAATCATTACAATCTTAACCTCTTCAAGTTTAAGGCTAACCTTTATCTATCCTATATATCCACAATAATATGCATTTACTTACTCCTTGTATGCCCTTACAACACCCTCATTTAGTAACACTTTACTATGAGTGGCTTTTGGGCCTTTTATTGAGTGATAAAAAGAATGTCAGTTTAAAAGAAGTTCAGATTATAGAACTTGGATCAGTACCATGGATTGATAGAAGCACAAATAAATAGTAAATTTGAATAAAAAGTTATTAAATTTTGATTGAAATAAAAGAAAATCAGACCACAACACTCAAATATTAAAAAAAAAAAGACTATTATAAACAACTAGGTTGATAAACAAATAAATAATTGGTAAAGGTTCTCACCTATCTGGAATTCCTAAACGTTTGACACTTCTGTATATAGACAAAACATTGGCAACATGTCGATAATTGAACCAAAATCGTGATGTGTCTACTAAAACAGCCCAATTATTAGTGTGCCCACTTTGGAAAAATTCATTAATTTTTTCCTGGAAAATGAGAGTAAAATGTCAAAAGGAGAACTCTGAGAGCAATACATTTGAAAAGAGAAAAGAGAAAATTACTAAAACAGTGTAAAAAAGATAAATGCAACAGAAATGACATTTAATAAAGTTAATCGCACTAGACTAAAAAAAAATTTAAAAAATGATAGGTGAATTTGTTTTATTTGTGAAAGTAAAGATATTTCTCCAGAAATTACATTTGCATTAAACATTATAATCAGTTTAGTTTTTAATAGTTATATAATTTAATAAATTTTCAGTCACTTAATACAGCAAATATTTTTATTATGCATTATTTTTTACTGTAAGCCATTAATGACCAGGTTCCTATTTTGAAGACAATGGACATTTATAGGTTACAGGTAAAACCTATAATTAATACCAGATTTTTTTATAAGCCTACAATACCAGATTTTATTTTTATAATTATTACTTTTACAGTAATAATTTATTATGATTTTACAGTGGGTATTCTTATTCAATATCGTGTTTCTTCAGGACATGAGTGATTATGGCTCTCCACAAGCTCCTATCCTTCGTGGCTCTCAGCATCACTTATCCCTTTGCCATTCCTCTGAACCCTGTTTTGCCATCTATTCCCACAAGCACATCTGGAAGATAGCCTGCTGCATTCCCTTGTTCTGTCACTTTTGCCTTCAAGATATTCTGTGTGTCCCAGAAATTTCAGCTGTCTTTTTCTATAATGAATGGTGATAATCTTGACATGGAATTGTCCCCACAATGATTCTAGCAACAGAAATTTAGGGAATCCAAACATGTCATGTTCATTTTTATCTGCTGAATCAGTGTCAACATCTAGTTGCTTGGGTTCTTTATTGTATGTCATATTTTTCTTCAATAAGATTCATTGTTTATATCCCTTACCCACATCAGAAGCTTATATTGGGATATAACAAAGGAGAAATCCATTTGCCATGATATGAGAATACACAGACAATATATCTATGTTCATGGAAATCTCCAAGCATTTTCAAACCATTAGCTACATTATGAAAGTCTCAGTGTAATCTCAGATGTTTTTTCAACACCTTGAACCAACTGATCTTCAGCGACATAGGATACAGCAGTAGTATGATAGATATTGGTGCAGAAAGTGGAATCGGTAATCTGAGTTCAAATTCATGCCTAGTTTGTTACATTTACATTGTTGTTACTCTTACATTTTCTATACAAAACAGATGTTGACCACTTTACAGCCCAAAGCAGACTGCATAAATACATCTTCTGCATATATCAGCTCTACACATACAGCCGCTTTAACCAAAACAAAATTAATAATATATTATGACCTGTCAGAGCCACTCTTACTCAAAAACCAAAACCTTAATTTCAAGCCAACTAAAAACTATACATATCCATATTTAAACAGACCCAATACAAACCAGCATTTGATGTCAAATGCCATGACACAATGCTGCAAGAGAAACCACCGATGACAACCACCACCAAATGTCCATTTCACTTCTAATTTCATCACTCTCTCTCCCTGTTATCTTAGCAACAGCAACAGATAGAAGGTACCAGTCTTTGTATATATGTAAATAAATTATACATTTATTTACCCCTACTCAATGTCATTTGTTTGACGCTTGGATTTGTTTGACAAGGGGGAGAAGAAATTAACCTCCACAACAGTAACAACAACAAGGTTCTGTCTTCCAGGTTACCCATTTTTATCTCCACAACAACATTTACATTAATATCATTGGGAAATACATGAATCCATTCTCCCAACTATGGGTTAAATAACAAGATAGACTCTAGGTTCTCTAACTTTGGATGGTAACCAGTGTAAGATGAAGAAAAAATCTATTAAACCATGAAAAAGGTAATGGGAAACTATCCACTATCTTTCCCAAGAATGCATGGCAATTCAGGGATTATAAAAAAAAGGAAGCAGGAGAGTTGTGATCACCTATGCAGTCAAAGAATATGGCATGTTAAAAAAAAATATGGATATAGGCCTGGTAATAATCTCAATGGGTTCTGGACTGGGAACAGCCTAGTAGCATAAAATGTGTGTGTATAAAAAAGCTTTAGGGAAGGGGTGGGAAAACTACGGCCCATGGGCCACATCCAGCCTGCCAAAAGAATTAATGTCTCTGGCCAAATGTTAGTAAATTTGAAAGAGAAAGTTACCAAGCAATACCAAATACATGTTACAAGCAACCTGACATCTTTTTTTAACAAAATGATAAATGAATGCAGTCAGATACATTATTCTCATTGAGTCATTGAGATCCTTCTGTTGCTGAGGTATTTTGTTTTTCAAATAAATCTGTTTCATGTGAAGTTACTACTTCAAAATATCAATAAAATTTTTTTTTCTTTAAACTGAATTTGTTTTCAAACAAATGTGTTTCATGTGAAATTTCAGTTTTTAAATCTAAATTAATTTTTTTCTTTAAATTTATTTACTTTATGCGTTTTATTTGAAGTTTCTACTTTAAAATATTAGTAAGATTTTTTTTTATTTCTTTACGCAGAGTTAATTTGTTTTTCAAATAAATGTTTTTTACTTTATAACATTAATTAATAAAAATAATTTCCTCTTAAAACAGGGTTATTTTGTCTTTCAAAAATGTGTTTCATGTAAATCTTCAACTTAAAAATACTTATTAATATATTTTCTTTAAAGTACTTTAAACTGAGTTACTTTGTCTTTCAAATAAATGTTTCATGTGAATCTTCTACAGTACTTTAAAATATTAATAAAAATTAATTTTCGTATATTTTAAATATTAATTATTTTGGGTTAATATACTATGCAGCCCAATAAAATTATGAATTTTTGAATGTGGCCCTTGCACTGAAAAGTTTCCCACCCTTGCTTTAGGGTTTGGCATGACTAGCTGATGATTCAATTGGACCAGGCTGATCACTCATCTATCCCAAGTAAGATGCTGGAAAAATACTTGGCTTGTTGTACCACTCCAGAAAGTACCAAACTCTTTCTGCCATGCTCTACTTTTAAAAGACCCAGATTAAACCAAAAATGGAGTATTGACAACTGCTGCCCGGTCTTCACTTTCCAGCCATAACAGATTTTGAAAACATTTGCGCAAACAACCACGTGGATGATGAATTATTTTTCCACCATACAAAACATTGCTTGTCCCCTGCTATTCTGTTGTTATTTTCATGCCAGATATTTGGGAAAACAACATTCCCTTGTTCCACCTAGGACCCAGTAGGCTGTATACATGGAGTTCACTCACCCTCATTTCCTTTATATTCCATTGGTATAGAAGAAGTTTCAATCAGACAGATTCTTCCCCAGAACTGTTGCATTGTGGAAAAGCCTCCCAAGATGATGCTTCCAAGATCACTAAAATCTTAACCTCTTCAAGTCTAGGGTCAACTGTAATCTATCCAAATATATCATAATATGCACTTCTTGCTCCTCCGTCACTTGTATGCTCTTAAAACAACTTCATTTAGTAGACCTCTACTTTGAGTGTCTCTTGTGGCTTGTATTGGGTGAACAATGTTAAAAAAAAGGTCAAAGTAGAGTGTTTCAGCACAACTGTCCACTCACTTTCCAGGAATACAAACTACTGAGAGATCAGGGTTAGTATCACTGGTTGTTAATCACAGCCAACATCGGTAGCTCAATTTTTTTTATGAAAGCATTGGTTCATGAATTTGATGACATGGTAATTATGAGTGCAATCTCTGGACTGGGTAGTGTTTTTACTTAAACTCAGTGGAAACAAGGCGAGCAATAAGTGAACAGTGCTAAAAATAAGAACTATTCCTAAATTCTTCTTATCCTCTTTCACTCCCAGTCGCTCCTTGCGTCTTAGTGGAATTATCGCCATGCTTGTGGTGAGATGATTAAAAAAAATAAAAGTGAAACAATAAATAAAAATTTAATAATCTTTTTTTAAGACGGTAATGATTATCTCCCCTTAACCTCACATAGTAGGTTGGTAGAGTAAAAATCAATTATCAATTAGTTAATGTTTCTGAAGCAATTCATACAAGAAGAATCAAAGAGTAAGACACCATATAAGAAAAATAAATAAAATAATAAGGAAGCAGAAAATGTTAAATGTAGTGTCTGATGTTTAATTATTATTAAAAAAAAGACCGTAAGGGAGAAAACAACTCCAAGAAAAAAAAGGTTCGTTTTCCTTAGCAAGGCAGTTTTTAAATTATTAGCAATGAAAAATAAAATCTGCCTGAAAATCGTATAAAAATGCTTCAACAAAAATAATGACGACAATTTAATTAATTGAGTCAACTTATTTGGCATTCAAATTTATGAACATATATTCGAACTTTTGATTGAGGTAATTGTTGATTATTTTATAAATTTATACCCACTAGCATCAGTTTCGACAAATAAAAAAATGGTAATTGCTTTGCTTTGACTAAAATAAAAAAAATATATTTTAGAGTAGACCTTGTTTTAAAAATTAACAATGACTAAAACAATAATTTTTACGGCAATTTTTAAAAAATCGTAAAATAAAACTATGACCATTTTTTTTGTTGTTTAGTCTCTTTGTGAATAATTCATATTATTTGGAGAGTTTAGTATTTAATCTTTAATTGCCAAAATTCGTGCATTTTTTCAGTTAAAAAAATAAAATGAGAAGATAAATTGAATGCCTATGTCTAAAAAAAACTTATTTAAATTAAAAAGTAAAACGTTTTAATATCAGGAAATTTTAAAAGTAAAAAAACTGATTACATTTTTTTTAACGAATGTAAACAACTTTTGCAAGCAAAAACATTCTATCTTTTAAATTAATTAAATATATCAAAATTTTATCAAATAATGTTTTATATCAAAATTTTCTTAAATCTTTCTTTTTAATCGCATAAACAATATTACGACAATCCATTTGATATTTATATTCAATAAAATAAGTATTTTTCGCATAGGATCATTTCTCTGTTTTCTAATGAGGTTTTATTTTTTTAAATCTATATTTCTTATTTTTAAACTGAAAGACTATCTTTTAAAAAAAAATAAGAATAATTTTACGTGTTAATAAATAATACTTGAATCTTTTTTTCTAAAATTTTAAATATTTCATTATGAAATATTTTTATTAAATTATTTTTATGATAAAAATAATTTAATAAAAAATATTTCTACTGACGGCAAGAAGAGGAAATTTTTTCGAGCAATTGATAAAATATGCAAACGTGATTACACTTAATCTACATACAATATAAACTATAACCTCACCTCATTTGCATATGAGTATATATCAGTTGATAATTGTAATATGAACACTTGTAAAACAATCCGAAAAATCCAACTTCTCATGCCATGCGAATCCATATTATTAACAATAGTTCAATGGCGACGACCTTGTTGATAATACACCGCCAGACACTGGTTATTTATGGATGCGCAATATAGCTACAATTACAAATCTTGAAAAAGAAAATGTCTTGTTTAACAAGGGAATATTTTTAGACATTTTAAACAAAAAATAAAACTGAACCTAGAAAAACTTCCCAAGATGAAACTTGTAAAATGGAGAGAAAAAATAGCTGAAAAAACTGAACACAACAGGACACACATTATTAAATGAATAAGAACTTCATTAATTAAATTTTAATCGCTACAAAAAAAAAGTATTTCGCAAATGGATAACACGAAATAGAATATTAATAACATTTTATTATTTCAAAATGATTATTTTAATTTTCCCCTAAATCAGGAAGAAGAAAGAAAAGAATGAGAGAAACGAAATTATTGTCACGGAATAGTGGGATAGAATTATTGCTCTACTGGACAACCGTAAATAAATACAAATGCTTATAGCTTTGGACTTGTTAAAAAAGATTCATTTATCAAGATTTTTTGATTTTTTAATAATTTTCAAAAATAAATAAATAAATGTATATTTTCTTTATTAGTATTTTGAACTAAAGCCTGTATATAACTTTTATCTCTAACCAAAAAATAAGTGGTGTGTCCGTTGTGCTTAGCAACGGATAAACAATGAGAAAAAATTCTGTTTAAGTGACTTTTTAAAAATTGTTTCGTGTGGCGAATAAAAACAGTAGAGTTTGTGATAACGTGTTGAATGTAACAAAGCAAAAATCGCTCTTTTAGGGGAAATAATAAATCCTTGTTTATGAAATTCCAACTTATAATCAATAAAACATTATTTTAACGAGAATAGGTCCTAATGAGTGTTGTTTCTGTGGGCTATGAAAAAAAAAAAAAAAAAAAAAGGAAAAAAAAAGAATTACACACGCAAAAAAGATACGGGTAGAATAGTTATTTCATCATTATATTACTTACTCCAGCAAATACCTCTACTAACTCCCACTGCTATGCTCTATTTTTATAGGAGTCTGTTTAGAAGATCAAGAACGGAGTAATGGCAATTGCTGCCATATCTGGTACTGCCAAATCCTCACTGTCCAGCCCCGACAGAGTTCAAATGTGGCCTTGTGTGTGATGAATTATTCTCCACCTTACAATTCTTACCCCACAGACAAAACGTTGCCTATTATATCACTCATATTATTATGACAAATGTTAACAGGAGCTACATTTCTTAATGCTACCAGTTTGGACCTTCACAGCTAGGACATGTCATACCATGTTCACAGTGACAAACCATTCCTATCCCCTTCATGTTACTTTGATAAAAAGCACCTTGTACTCAGATAGCTTCTTCTCCAGAATTGTTACTATGTGAAACAAACTCTCAAGCAAATGCTTTCCTAACAACTATAATCTTGGTCTTGTGGAATCTCCCACAACACAACCAGCCTTACCTCTTTGTAGGAAATGCACTCTTCCTATCTGGTAAGCCAAATTCTACTTTCAGACAATATAACAAATATTCATTGGTCAATCACCTCCAATCTGGCTTGCTGATTGGTCAGTTTCGACCAATCAAACTGCCTGCACGCGACCAATCTGTTTTCCCACTCATATGCTGGGAGCCACTCAGCCATTATAAAACCGAACACGTGTGAACCTTTTGAGTAGTAGTAACCTTCACCGACTCCCGTCTTAGTCATTGCTGACCAGACGTTAAAGACAATTACCAACTTTAGACAGTCAGACCTCCACACCTAGAGAGATGCCCATCAACTCCACGCCAGTCAAAACTCTGACTTTGCCGCGTAAAAATATTCTCTGAGTCAGCAACCTTTGGACACACTCTATCTCTCTCTAGAACATTTCTCAAACTTCACTTACTATACTTTCAAACTGATATTTCTCACTACATAACAAGTATCAGTAACTAACAATCTATTTTTCTCAAGCAGATAAAGGTACGCAACTTTGAACAACTTTGAATATTTGTATAAATTGTATATAAATTGATTTTATTGTTATGCATTCAACTTTTGTCTTGTTTTCAACTTTATTTGCATGATTTGTTCCAAGTATTTGTTCTAAATAATTGTTGTGGACGAATGTTGTAGAACACAGCCTTGAAATTCCTTCTGATCAATTTAAACACAAACACCAGTCTGCATCAGTCTCTTTAAGTCCAAGGTCAGAGAAACAAAATGCATCTTATCCTATTTGTCCACATAATACTATTTTATTTCCTCTTTTCCTTACAATCTCACTCAGTAACCCTTTGCTTTAAGTGGTCCTTGAGCCTTTTATTGGATGAACTATGAGTAAATAAAAGAAAATAATTATATAACTTTCCCACTTATTATGGTGTCATAATTAACAGTATAAATATGTTATATTTTATTACTTCCAAAATAAGTTAGTCTTTAGTTAAATGTGTAATAAATAAATGTTTAATCATCTACGTTGTTTTTTTGTTTTTTTTGCACCTTCTTTCGAGAAGTGTATTTTTAAGAAAGCCAGATGGTTTGTAAAAAATTGTTACAGTTGTGTAAATCTCTTTTAGACTTAGTGTTGAAAAACTGCCAAAATTATTTTGCAATTTGTTACAGATTCTTTTTGTAATTTGTGGGAAAATGTTTTTTTCATATTTACTGACCAATCAGAGATGTGGTTTTATGTCCTCTGTGATCCAAATTTTTCCTAATAAAAGAACTCTGGTCAGCAGATAACTTCAGAAAGCATTTCACCGTGAAGACAGAAGGAATTTCAAGGTTGCCAGCAGAAGGGATTTTTTGACATTCACTTATGGAAATCACCACTATGACAAGGAAAACAAACAAGAAAAGAACACAAAGAAATTCCTAAATACTGCTTAGGCCCCAGTGAAGCAACGTGTGTAGCTGAACAGAGGGAATATCAAAAGACATTTCTAAACATTGTTAAATGTTTCAGAAACATGCATGGAATAAATAAAAACTTTGTTTTTCTGTCTTTTCTGAATTTTGCTTTCTTAAAGTTGTTTTTTTCATTTTCGAAAGGGTTATCAACTTTTTGTTAAACATTTGAATTATTATCTTTTGTGCAAGCTCTTATATGTAAATTTTAAGAAAGCAATTGTATACAGCCGATAGTCTAGCTATTCTGAACACGTTTGACATGTCAAAAAGTAACAAATGCATTACATAACAGCCTGTCTTGAGGCCCAAAATGTACCAATTTCTTGAAATGACTGCATAGCTATCATGGACCTCAATTTGTTTTACCATCCATAGCTAAGGCTACATCACTTATGCAATGTATAATCAAACCAATTCACCAGTAAGACCTCATTTCACTTTTCTGTTTTATATATTCTAATATATGGGATTAATATAAATATAAAATTTGTCATTTAGCTGATTGATGTCATATTCAGCACCCCAATTCCAAAGTTTCATTGACAAACATTTTTGTAATCATTCTGTCTATTTGTCAGGAGGTTTCAACAATTAAGTGCTGATTTTTCTCATTTTCATTATTTTTGCATTAAGTTATATTCAAATTGTGGCACAAAGAAACTGTTTTTTAAGTGTAGTTTTTTTTAACTATATAGATTGTAGTGGAGCTGAACTGCAGGTTTGAAATGGATGAACTTGTTGGTTACCAGTTTGTAGCAGGAAGTGTGACTTTGTAACAGATGCAGTTGTTTAAGAATTGTGATATAGTGGTTGAGAAATTTCAAAAAAATGAATTTAACATGTACAAGAATTTTACATATTTATTTATATAAAGAACAATATAGTTCACAAAAGAAGAGAAAGAGAAAATTATATTTATGTCTATACAGATAACTGAAAACGAAAAAAACATTTATGTGCTTTAGAAGTAGTGTGTGTGTGTGTGAGAGAGAGATGTCCATGTAGCTTGTTTGAAATTATGTAGTTGGTTTGCTAGGTGACTAAGTTTCTTCCTGCAAGAATGAAAAAATTAAGAGACACAAAGAGCAACAGAAGAGAGACCAAGATCACCATAAAAGAAAAAACAAGAGTATACAACCTCTCCAATTCAAGGAGGTGTAATATCATATGCAAATTAGATAGACAAGTATAAATAGAGAACAAATGGCGAACATAAGGGCTATGCCTAGCAAACCCTTTTGCTATTCAAGATGCAGAGAACTATACCATGAGTTCTACTACACATAGAGATATGCAAAACAAAACATGATTTATGGGAAGTAAGGATACAAACGGGTAAAGATGGTCGAGCTCAAGTCAGCTTTGCGCTGAATTGGGAAGACCAAACCTCTACTTCATGAGTAGGACTGCTAAAACACGTCTAATGATATGGTTGGTAAGTGGAAAAAGTCCAGTCATTAGTGAACCGGAGAAACTAACATTCCCTAGTGGGAATGCTATTACTGTGTAGTTCCCATCTTGAAAACATGGCATCCTAGCTCACTAGAATTGAGTCAACTGGACTACTACACACATAGCATAGTTGAGAGAGAAGTCAGTCAATGCCTCAATAACACCATAAAATAAAAGTTAACCATAACCAAGACTATGTCCAAAATTGATAAAGATCATCTGGTTTAGGCATGACAATGCTTCTAATCAAGGCAGCCATTGATGCTAATGGTGGATAATATGTGGCAATTTGTTTTCAAATGAAGCTTTTATTTGTATGAGTGATGCACCTTGCTCTAAATTGAAGAAAATGTTCTAAAAAACATAATGCCCCTCTATATATATATATATATATATATATATATATATATATATATATATATATATATATATATATATATGTCTTGAACAATAACAAAATGTTAAAAAAAAATTGAAAATTTCAGACACACTGGGTTGTATATTAGTATTTTTTGCTTTATTATTTAAATTACGTTCCTTGACTAGTTTCAGCCAGCAGCCTGGAAGTTGATCTCTCCTCTGTCACAGCCCAATAAGGGATTGATTGAGGACAGCTTATTAACAGTTTGTTATTTAAAGCCAAATCATATT